AGTGGCACATATAAAAGATCATTGCACGTTTTTGGCGGGAAGACCGTTGGCGGAACAGGAGTTTCCCCGGCTCTTCCAGTGCGCTGTTTTGCTTATTTGCCTTCAATAAATTTCTACAATATATTTAAAAAAAAAAATTTATATCTGGTCATTTGACTATAACAATGCCGTGGCTTCTGAGCAAGAAGCGACGGCAGTCGCCATCCAGCAGCCCCAGTGGGCAGCCCTGGGCTGCCCCCAGCTCCACCAGTGCCTCCGAGCTCAGGGAGAAGGGGCTGGGCAGGCTGCACCGCGCGGCCGCCCGCGGCGACCTGGCCTGGCTGAGGCGGTGGCGCTGGTTTGTGAGGGCAGTTGGCATCGACAGGCGAGACCAGGAGATGCGGTGAGTGCTGTGGGACGCTGATGGCACAGCTGGGCTGCTCCTGAGCCAAGCTGCAGCAGTCCTCGGCAGCCCTCTCTGAAGGACAAGGCTTGAAAAGTGAGCTGTGCCCTGTCAGCTGGGAGAGTGAACTCTGGAGCTTTCACTGCTTGGAGCTGCCGGCTGGGCTCGAGCACTGTTGGAAACGCGTGTCCCCGACCTGCCGCTTCACCATGGTCTCTCTGCAGGGCTGTTTTGCAGCTGCTCAGCCCTCACCTGTTCTCTTCTGCCCTGTGGCTCATCAGCACAGGATTGCAGCAGCAGCAGCAGCAGCAGAGAGCAGCAAGCAGGAGGAGCAGAGTCTGGGCATGGTCCCCAGGGTGCTGGGTAGAGACACAGCTTTGGTTTTCCTTTCTCCGTCCAGGTTAAGAGCGTATGTTTCATTTTTAGGACACCTCTGCATCTCGCTGCGGCAAATGGCCATGCAGATGTCATTCGATATCTGATGAGAAAGAACAGCCAGCCGAACCTCGCTGACAGCTTCAAGAGAACGGCACTGATGAAGGTGTGTGCAATGCCTTAAGATCTTGTAGGTGGGCTTAGTGCTGCTGTGTTAAAGAGGAGATGTCTCGCAGGATTCCTTGCCCCTCAGGCCCATAGAAACATGCAAGTTGCATTCAGCAGGTCATGGGCCTCTGTTAGCTAATCTTTGAAGATGTTCTTCTCTCCCAGCATTCAGGAGCTGAGGGAGTTGTGACAGAGGGGGATGTAAAAGTTGCAAGTCTTTCCCTTTCTGTGTGTTGTTCCCAGGCAGTACAGCAGGAGCAGGAAGAATGTGTTGCTGTTCTGCTGGAACATGGTGCCGACCCGAATCTGGCAGATGCTGACGGCAACACTGCCCTTCACCTGGCTGTGCTGTCTAAAAATACAGCTGTAGCAGGGCTGTTACTCCAGCATAATGCCAAGAGTGATGCTCAGAACCAGGTAACCTTGGCATGTGGGTAAAACTACTCTTTCAAACAGGAGCAGAGCTTGTCTGTGTTTTTCTAATGGGGATTATTTCTCCTTTTAGTGGGGATTTACCCCCTTAAAACTTGCAGCCTTCCTCCAGCATGAGGAGATTCTGCAGTGCCTTCTGACCAAAGCAGCTGACAGGCATGCTCAAGCCGAGCCTGAGAGGTGAGGGGTTTGTCAAACCAGCACACAGGTCTTCTCAGTAGTCTGAAAGTGGGACTGAGAGGAGGGGCATGGCAATGGGCTTGGGAAAAGAAGGAGGAGCCACGTGGAAGCTGTTCCCTGTGTGACTGGTAAAAGCAGGTCTGCACTTGGCTGCTCTCATAGCTTAGGGGCTCGTCCTTTGCCCTGTGAGGTCTGCAAGAAAGCCTTGTCTGTGGTGCCCTCTCCCCACACAGCCCCAGAGCCAGCGGGACACTTGCCATGAGCTCAGCAGCCGGGCTGCTCTGCAGGACAGAGCCAAGGCACAGTTGGGTGCTCTGAAGGGAAGTGTTGGCAGAAAGAGAAGCAACACTGTCCGAGGGGACACGAGGGGCTGACACCGCACCTGAGGAGAAAACTTCCTGCCATGCAGATGGTCAGGGGGTGAACGGCCCCGGGAGTTTGTGCAGCTGCATCTGTGGGGACTTTGGAGAGCAGTACAAGGAGCCCTGGACAGCATGGCCTGACCTCAGAGTTGAGGCTGCTTTAGGGAGGCCCCTTCTCAGCTGAATTCTCCTGTGCTTCCATGTGCTTGGCTTTGCTTTCACGGAGCTTGTAGGAAAGGGGGCAGAGCTGTTTTGGGAGCAAGCAGGGGAAAAATGATGCAGGATCAGACATGTTTCAGATTAAATTTTGGATGCCTTAGGACTGCTCTTGTGGTTCCTGGAACCCATGAGGCTCACCTGGAGGAAGAGAATCTGCACTTGCAGAAGGAGTTGGACAGGGTTGACACTAAGGTATGGAAAGCCTGTCCCTACAGGGATAAACCTAGGGGTGCCAGCTGCTCCCTATACATCATGAAAACAGAAAAAACAGTCTTCTGGGAGCCAGGATGACAGAGACCCAAGGAAGCAGCAGTTACATCGGGCTTTGATCTGCCTCTGTCCCTCCGGCCCCTGCCCCACAACCCGCCATGCTGAGGCAGAGCTGCCTCTGCTGAGGGTTTCACAGCTTGCCGGTCAGGGGGGCTGGGGCTCCTCTCTCTCTGCTACATTCGAGGTCTTCCTGGTTTAAGAAGACTCCCCACGCACTCCTGGTGCGATTTTCGACTCCAGAGCAGGTGTGTGGAGCAGTTCACCTGGCTGCCCTGGCTGAAATGGTGGCCATCAGCTTGTCAGTGATGCCATCCTTCCTGGCCCCACCACACTGAAGCAGAGCTGCCTCTCCTCAGGCATCCACTGCTTCCTGCTCCGGGGCTGCTGGGTGCCTCTCTCTGCACTTCACTCAGGGCTTTTCCCACTTCAGAAAGCTCCCCATGCTCCCCTGGTGCAATCCTGGGCTCCAGAGCACATGTGCCGGAGCAGTTCACCTCTGACCCTTGCCAGACGCCTTCCTTTAGGAAGATGAACTATTCCATGCACCTTTTCATGGAGTAGCAAGCAAGGCAATACAAGGAGTGTCACAGGTCACAAAAAAGGTCGGAGGGGCAGTGTGGGTGCTTAGAACTGTGCTGTAGGAAATCAGTGGAGGGATGGGAGAGGCTGCTGTTAAAGAGGACAAAGGAATACAGCTGGTGTTCATTTGGGAGCAGAAGTGAAGCTCTGAAGGCACTTGAATGGATTGCAGTTCTCTGGGCAGAGGGTGTGCACACACACAGCAGCACAGCAGGCCTTTGGCAGCAGCTGGCTCCTCTATGGGAAAGCTCACCTGACAACTGTGGGTTCTTCCCATGATTTTACAGTTGCAGGAGGAGGAGGAAAAGCATCTTCAGTCTGAGCATTGTGTTGCTGACTTGGAGGAAAAGCATCTTCAGTCTGAGCATTGTGTTCCTGACTTGAAGACTGCCTTGGGTTATAAGGAAAGAGAAGCAAGAGCTTCTTCCCAGAAACTGCAGAACATCCTGTTGGCATCTTCTGAGACTGATAGTGCTCCAAAACAAGTGGAAGAACACGAGCAACAGTAAGAGAGGAACACAGTGAGGGGTCTGTAGCTTTGGGGGACTGGGTGGAAACAACAGGAGAGTCAGTCTGATTTTGAAGGACAATTCTGCTTTGGATTCTGTTACTTAACACAGTTTGTCTTGCATTGGATTTTCTGGTAACGAGACCTGTATTTCTTCTGAAGCTCTCAAAGTGAAAACACCAGACTGGAAACCACTGTCCAACAGCTGAGAGATTGCGTTGAAGCCCTTCAGAGAGACCTGCAAGCCTCTGCCTCAGTAAGCTGCTCATAAATTTCCCTGTTTGTGACTCTTGAGCAGAGCTGCTCATTTCTGTGGAGAAACTGCAAGATGAAGTTTTCCTGGAGAGCCGAGGGGAGCTCAGTTTCTGCATTCTCCTCAGTAGAGGCTGCTCAGAAAGCAGCCTGGTCCTTTCTCCAGCTGCTACAAAAGCCCTGAGGGTATTTTCTGTGGTGGACACTAGAGGAATAGAGATTATAAATTATGAGTGTCATGATGAGCTCCAAGGGACCTGGAGTATTGCTCCCAGAAGTGTCTCACAAATTCTTAAGTAGGTCTAAAGTGTCTTCTTTCTGTCGGGGAATCTTTCCAGTGTTTTCCATGCTCATTTCCAAGAGATGATAAATACAGTTTCACTGGCCACCCCTTTAGAGGTTTTCCCAGATCTCACTGCCTTTAGATCATGCTGAGTTTCCTTTTCTTTTTTTTTTTTTTCTGTGTACAGGTTGGTGAACTTTCCCAGCAGCTGGACATGGAGCCTAAAACAGGCATGCAGCTGGAAGCCCAAAAACCAGGATTTGAAAGAAAAGCTGTCCACTCTGCATGGGATGTGTGAACAACTGGAGGTGGACAAATGGCAGCTGCATGAAGAGGTGAAAAAACTCTACCATCATTTGAAGAATTTCACGCTGGATGGCAGCCAAACAAAACAATGTGAAAGAGATGTGGAAGAACAAGCTAGACGAGGAAATAACACAAAAGCTACAAGAAGTCAATCAGTTTTTGCAAGTAAGTGAATTTCTCACCAGTGTCCATGGGCGCTACGTAAACTTCTGTTGTGGCCATGATTTCTGGTATTTTCCTTTCCCTCCTGCATTCTGTGTGTTAGTGCTGTACTTCTGTCTGTGCTGGAGGCAGTGGGAGAAGGGCAGATGGTTGGGCAGCAGTGCTGGGTGTGTGATGTGCCGGCAGGTCCCTGAATCCAAAGCCTGCCCAAGGCACATTCCCAGTTGGCAGTGCCTGGGGGGATCTCTGTCCCCTGCTCTGGTTCTCTCTGCTCATCCTCCAATGGGTTTGGCAACTTGCAGCTGTCATGGCCAGACATTGGGGTGCTGCTTTGTCCTTGTAGGGGGGAAAGTGCTCAGAAAAAAAGTCACTGAAATGACAGGGGTGGGGTGAGGGGGGTGCAGGTGGGGATGCTCTGATTGTCTTTGAAGCATCCTTTTCAATATGCCCTGTCCTGCAGATACAGTGTCTTTTCATTGGTAGCTTTGACTAAGAGTGCTGATTTGGCCTCTTTCTGAATGAGAAGAATTATTTACCCTGGTAGCTCCTGGGTTCTGCCTTGATTGCTGCTGCTTGTGAGGAGCCACAGCCGCCTCTCTGAGCAAAGCCCTAAAATTGCGTCCATGCCATTTTCTGCTGGGGAGAGCTCTGTTTTTCTTGTGGTGGTTGAAGGTGCACTGTCTCCTTCAGGCACAGACAGCCTACCAGCACCAATTAGGGCAAATTGGAGACAGGAATTGTAATTCAATGAGACACCAGCTGGAAGAAAGAATTAGAGATCTCAAAAGTGAATTGGACAGCGTTAAAAAAGCCCAACAAGAGAGTGCTTGTTGTAAAGAGGCAACACAGGGAGAAATGGAAATGTACAAAGGACTGTACCTGGAGGAACTGAGAACCAGAAGATGCCTCACAAAGAAACTGCAAAGGTAAGTCCACGCTTTTTTTGCAGGGCTAATAAGAGACTCCTTTTTCTTCATGCATTTTCTTTCTAAATCCATCTTCTACTTCTCACCAGCATTATTGCCCTACATAGGCCAACAGGTTCTGATCTAGTTTCCAAGACTGTGGAGAGCTTTGCAAAGCAGTGGCTGCTTGACCGTGGACATGACTGCTCGGATACCTTGCAGCTGCTACAGGTTGATAACGAAGGAATGCAAGAAAACAAAGCCCAGCTGTCCTGGTAAATTAAAGAAAGAACTGTCTCCAGCAAGAAGATGTTATGATTTGGACACTGATACTTTTAATTAGAATGAAACATAACAAATCTTGTTTTGAGTTCTGTTCTCTGGGAAAGTGTTCTGTTCTCTGGGAAAGTGTTCTGTTCTCTGGGAAAGTGTTACCTTCTGATTTTTGTTTTCTAAATATGTGTAGAAAAATAGGTTTCTGTATCTATAGCAAATCCTTGTAGAGAAAATAACCTACCACCCTCTTTCTGACCAATGCGAGCATTGCATGCTGTTCGCAAAAATACCATATAAACCTTTGTAAAATCTTTAATAAACGAGACAAAAAGCAAATTTCTGCTCGTGTCTCCCAGCGTTTTGCGACATAATGGCGCCCGAACAGGGACCGCTTAAGTCCCGAGCCAAGGACCGCATAAGTCCCGAACCTGTACAGAACAAGACGCTGAGGTGGACAGACCTCTCGCAGCGGAGGTGATCATAAGGACATTGCCTGCAACGTGTCCCGGATCCCTGGTGTCGTATAGACGAGCCTGGCTGTTACGTGCTGCCGAATCCTTGAAAAGCTGCAAAGGCGCGCACCTCGATAAGGTATGGAAAGGGAAGCAGCATATCAATTGTTTGGGGATTTCTTAAAAAAGAAAGGGTTAGTAGATATTGACTATAAGAAGGAATTACCTTTTTTATTAGATTACGGTCACTCGTTAGGGTTTTTTGTTAATCCACATACTGTTCACTCTTTAGCAGAGTGGAGAAAATTTGGGGATGATTTGTGGATGAGGGTTATTGATGAGGATAAAACAGCGAAAAAATTTGCAAAGCTGTGGCGTAGTGTCTATAATACTTTACTGCAGCATGAAGCAGAAAAGCGGGCTGTTGAAAAGGCTGCAAAAATTAAAGAGGAAAATAAGTCTTTTGGGGAAACATGGTTCTCTGAATCTACGACTCCTTTACCCCCTTCGGTTTCTGTAATACACGTACCGAATAACCCCATGCATCGCGGTGAGTCCTCGGGAGTAAAAGTTTCTATGGAGAGCAATGCCGCTGTACCAGCGGCGCAGCCGCCGTCTCCACCAGCGCGGCTGAGCCAAACCCGCGGCAGCGGCTGCGCGCCGCCGCTACCACCATCGGCACCGCCGCCGCCCCCCCCATCGGCGCCGCTGCCGCTTCCCCCCCCTTCTCCAAACGCTGTACCTACGCCTAGCTATACGCCTGTCCCTGGGGCCGATAGTGGCCTTGCGGAGGCTGTGGCGCGAGAACGTAGGGAAGCGTGGACTGCATTTACTCGGCACTGCATGCAGGATGGGGATATGGATGGTTTGGCTGCTGTAAATCTGGCTTTCCCTGTAACCTATAACCCGGGACCCCCTGATGGTCAAGGCAATCCTCAAACTGCCATCACAATGACACCCTTAGATTGGAAATTGCTTACTCAACTTCGTAACACTGTTAGTCAATACGGTGCAACTGGGGAGCCCACACGCCAAATTCTTGATTACTTATGGAGCACTCGGCTCCTTCTGCCTGCTGGTTGTCGCACTATCGCCAAATTGTTGTTTTCTCCCCATCAATTGCTTTTGTTTAATACACATTGGCAAGCTGTAGTTGAGCAGCCTGTAGCTACACAGAGAGGACCAGGCGATCCTTTACATGGAGTGACGATAGAAGAATTATTAGGCATAGGAACTTGGATAAGAACTGAAGCACAAATACTCCTTGGGGCTGATAAGATTAGAGAGGTGATGCGCTGTGCTCGTAATGCAATCGATCGTGTTGAAGATCCTGGGGGAACTCCTCTATACATGAGCATAAAACAAGGGAAAGACGAACACTTTGGGACCTTTATTGATAAAGTAGCCGAGGCAATTACAAGAGCCGGCGTTCCTGAGTACCTTAAAGGAGCCATTCTAAAACAATGCGCATTGCAAAATGCTAATCCGGCCACTAAAACAGTCATTAGCACCCTAGGCTCGAATTGGACTATTGAAGAGGCATTAGAGAGATTAGCTCAAACCCCCACAGGCACTCAAGCCTTCCTAGTTAACGCTTTAAACAACTTAGGGGAAGGCTTGAAAAAACAAGCAGAAAGCAGTCAGACGCAAATTTTAGCTGCCTTTGCACCTTTTCAAGTGATGACAGCAAAACCACAAAAAACAAATACTTCTCGATTAAAATATTACCGCTGTGGAGGATCGGGACATATGAGAAAGCATTGCTCCGCTACAGGAGTGTGGTACCAATACTGCAAGTCTCCTTCTCATAATACCAATGTCTGCCGTACGGGAAACGGGAAGCAAAGCGCGAACAAGAACCGCGCTACGAAACAAATAGCTCCTTCCCCGGCAGCGGCGTTCTGCGCTCAGCCTCCACCCTCCAGCCTGCAACAAGCGGCAGCCTTGGACTTGACTTGGCAGCAGCAATAGATACTATTCTTTTTACTACCGAACCTCAAGCGATCCCCACAGGCGTTCAAGGACCCTTAGTAATTGACAATAAATCCATGGGAACTTTATTAGTAGGATGCTCTTCACTTTCACTGGCAAGCTTGTTTGTACTACCGGGAATAATTGATGCTGACTATACTAGGGAGATTAAAATTATGTTATACACCCTTTTTTCCAACAAATGCAAACCATAGGTGCATTACAACCTGGCATACCAAATCCAGCTTTAATCCCACAAGATTGACATATTCTAGTCATTGAGTTAAAAGACTGTTTTTTCACTATCCTGTTACATCCTCGAGACACCCAGCATTTTGCCTTTACCCTGCCGGCTCTCAACAGAGCATCTCCAGATTCCAGATACGAGTGGGTTGTTCTTCCACAAAACATGAAAAATGGTCCTACGTTGTATCAGCTCTACGTTGCAACTGCTCTACAACCCATCCGTAAAAAATTTCCTACCTGGATTATCTACCACTACATGGATGACCTTTTATTCGCCGCAAAGGACCCCTTTCAACCGAATGATACCCTCGAAATTCTCAGAGTGTAAAAGAACACCACCTTGTGGTCTCAATCGAAAAAACCCAACACACCTGCCCTTGGAAATATTTAGGATGGACTTTGACCAACAGAGTCATTCGACCACAAAAACTAATGTTACAATCGTCCATAAAAACTCTCAATGACATGCAAAAATTTATGGGAAATTTGCAATGGTTACGTCCCATCGTAGACATTTCTACTGAATTGATATATAAACTACGTCACCTTTTACATGGCACAGATCCAGCAACACCAATTCATTTAAACTCTAATGATTACTCTGTTATTAATACTATTTGTGATCTTGTTTTGCAGGGTTTGATCTCTCGAAGGATCCCTGATGTACCCCTATGTTTGTGTTGTTGGATGGGTAATCTTTTTACTATGGGACCTATTGTCCAACAGGTGCCATCACCTACTAAAAAAGAAGGGGGAGTATGACTGCCCATAATTGGCGTAACATTAAAAATCTTGCCTGTTTTGCCGTCCAAGAGTTCAATGTTACATCTAATATCTTGGATGAATTGTTACATGATGTGGACAGCATTAGGCATGCAGTCTTACAAAATCGTGCTGCTGTTGATTTCCTTCTGTTGGCACAAGGTCATGGCTGTAAAGAGTTTGAAGGAATGTGTTGTCTGAATCTCTCTGATCATAGCGATAGTATTCATGCTCACCTTCAGCCTCTCTCTTTTTGCCAGGCTGTATCCAGAGAATCCACAAAGCTCCTAAGAGGCTCTCCTCATAAAGGCCATGTCCTCATAAACCCCATCCACCTGAGAGAAAAGTTTACAGACAAAAATAGACTGACCATGTGTACTGCGATTGTAGTAAAAAGAGAATAATAGAGTTAAATATTATAGTGATGTTGTTTTAATTTTTAATAAAGTAATTTTTAGTTATAGCTTGTTTATTTATAATTGTATGTTGATTGTAGAATTTAAAATTTCTTAAAATGTAATTTGCAAAGGCGAAGGGGGGAATTGTCATGGTTTTGCCCACCAGCCCATCCCTGGGGCTGAGGATGGTTTTGTCCAAGTGTCCCAGTTTAAATGAGACAAGGGTCTTTTGCTGAGGATGAATTAGGAGGAAAAGACCCAAACTTCTCTTTCCAAGCAATTATAAATCCAAAATTAAGAGGCTTCGATTGAAGGAAAACAAATTATGGAAAAGGGAAAAAATAACAGCCCTTTATTAAAAGGTATGTGTGTGTTAACAGGAACACGGAAAAAAAAAAAAAAAAAAAACAAGTAAAATAACTAAGTAATACTCCTATACCCACCAATAATCCCCTTCATGAACAAAACCGATAAACCAGCAAAAGGAAAATAGTTCAATTTCTTACACCCTTTGGTGCAGTTCCAACCACAGTCAGCAGGGGGCGCCGTCGGGTCACTGGAGATGCAAAATTTGTAATGTCCTGTACCATTCACCAGGTGGCGCTGTTGGGTCACTGAAGGTGTAAAAAACTTGTAGTGTCCTATTGTAGTCACCAGGTGGCACTGTTGGATCACTGGAGGAGTAGAATTTGTAATGTCCAGTGCCCGTCACCAGGTGGCGCTGTTGGATCCTTGGCTGCCACCGGGGGGGACGGGACACACACAACAGCAATAAAACAGAAAGTTCTCCCAATGGAAGAAAACTCACAAACTTCAGCTGATTAGGGTCCGTTGTAAGCAGGGCTTGCAGTCAGCCAGAGGTGAGCCAAGAGCAGCAGCCAGAAACTCCCCTCCGACAGGGAAAAAAAAAAAAAGGAGCC